GAGGTTTGTAAACCACACCAACAATCAGATTCTTACATTGACGAGGGGTGATGATTTCAACAAAGATACATTCCAACGAGTCGTTACCCAGATCATTTAAATCAGATAATAAGACTCGATAATAAGTACATTGCTACACCTCCTCCCTTTTTTCCCTCCCTATTTCTGGTCCCTAGAATGTATCCAGGCATATTCAAATTAAGATTACAGTTGGTATTCAGCCAGGTTTCACTTAGTCCAATAACGGATAAGTTGCTACTTAATGAGTGCAAACATGTTTTCATATTATCAATGTTTTTGTTCAGACTTCTAATGTTGAAATGTAAGAGGGAGAAATAGTTAGGAGAATCATGGTTTAAAAAATCAACAAACTTTTCATGAGAGTAATAATCAGTTTTGTGTAGTCGACATGAGGTGACATCGGGATCATCATATTCATACTGGGCTTGGCCAACGAAATCATGGGTAAGATCTATAAGAGTTTCTAAATTGGTAATTGAGTGGTGGGGTTCAGGGACAAAATCTGCAATCATTTCAGAGAATTCTCTAGGTTCAAGGCTATTAAAAGGTAATGCATCCATGACACACGGCGGACAGAACCATGGATCATCTTTATCAGGTAAGATAGCATAATCAGCAATTGTTAGTTCCGTACAGTTTAGGTGAATCCAATATTTACAACAATCACAAAATATGGCACGTTGATTTTTCCTTACTGGGTTACTACAAACATTACATGGAAATCTGATTGGCATTGTTTAACAGTTTTACAGGGAAACACAAAACATCAAAAACGTTGCTATATAAACAATCAACAGACAACTTAAACTGGACAGAAACAAAAAAAAACCACAAAATTACACAAACAAGTGAGGACCACTAGTACACATGAAGGACACAGCATCATTCACGCTCCGTTTTTAGGTTAAATTAATATCATAAATACTACACCAAGTACTTCTGAATGTATCCACGTCAATCAGTCCTGGGGGCGGGCTGGAGATCTGGAGTGAATCTTTGGCCGTTGATGTATAACTGCCCATTTCGGAAGATCGATTTCTTCCCAGCCACGTACGCCTTGTGCATTATCTCCTTTAGGCTCTTCTTCTTGATGAGGTCGGCCGCAGGAAGATCTTCGATCAAATATATGCCACACCCGGACAGGGCTGCCTTGGCTTTAAGGAGAACCACTTGACGTTCTGGACGATACGTAAATTTCGCTAGGATGTGGCGGGTCTTGCCTTGGGTTGGACGACCAGAGCGGTGCGCATTTTCTATTTCTGGCTCCATGTCACACTTCTCTTTCAGGATTTGCTTGATCTTATAGTAGGGGTAGTCAGCTCGTTCATTGGGAAGTTCAGCAATCCCCCCAAACCGCAGGTTGTAGCTCCTGGAATAGCGTTCAAGTCTAATGGCGGTCTCCTCAAGTCGAGTGATTTTCCTTTCGGCAACGTCAAGTTCCGATGTTAGTTTTGTCAGCTTGGATTGTTGATTTGTACTTGCTGCTCTTACATCTTCTATGGCCTCCGACGTGTATGACACAGATTTCTCAATTTCTGTGTGACGAGATTCAATTTCGTCCATCCGGTGTAGGAGGGATTGTTGGTTAGAAATTACAAGATCAAGTTTACCCTCAATCCCGGACTACATATCACGAATTTCAGTTCGTAGTGCAGCTAGTAGGGAGTTTCCTGCAAGCTATAGCCCCATAAATGTGGCCTATTTACTGGACTGCCTCCGTAAACATAGGCCACACATCCACATGTACAAAAAACGTGTCGACTTTGCCAAATTTTGATTTTCACATTTAGGCTTACTTTGTAGATTGTTTTTGCTTTAGAAGCATTCTTACCCTCTATATAGGCTAATCAGAAAGTGCTGCCTTTTTCAGATGTTTAATTTTTGTGAAATTTCATGTTGAAATTTTGATACGCAAACGTGTGCAAATGTATCTGGAAATTTCACGAAAAATGGACATCTGAAAAAGGCAGCACTTTCTGATTAGCCTATATAGAGGGTGAGAATGCTTCTAAAGCAAAAAAAACGTAAAAAGTAAGCCTAAATGTGAAAATCAAAATTTGGCAAAGTCGGACACGTTTTTTGTACATGTGGATGTGTGGCCTATGTTTACGGAGGCAGTCCAGTAAATAGGCCACATTTATGGGGCTACCTGCAAGCATGGTTGACTTGTCGTCAACAGCAATAGTATGTGCAACGGTTGGTTCTGCACATGCAGCTTCAGGAGAAATTGTTGATTCAAACAAAGTTTGCTGTTTTTTCTCTCTTTAAGGAGGCATATTTGCGCTCAAAGTTGACAGAGAGCATGAACTAGTAGCTGATTTACTAGATTTTGACGGATGGCAACGATTTAGCAGAGATTTAAAACGATTTTTCCTTGGTGATACTTCGGATTTTACGGAGCGAGATTGAAATCCGTGCTACTCCATGAACAGCGCCCTCACTCCCATGGTTTTACTGGACGTTATTTGCCCATGTAATACGTACTAACATATGAAGCTGTCTTGAAATCTGTTTGTACGTCAAAACTTGCATTTGACGAAATTTGAGGAAAATTCTGGCCCCGGTTCATGAAGTCCTGCTAGCTGCCACTTTCTCCCAACTGACGCATGCACATTGCGTTTTATTGTACCGCCTGGTTCGTATGATTCGACGGCTTTTTACTGTCGCAGCTAAAAGAGACATCGTTTTAGGCAAGTTTCAAGTGTTTTCCTCTCTCACCGCACCGCGATGAGCCGAGCAGCCAATATTCTGCGGGTTTTTTTCGGGGTTGCGACATGAAACAGCCGTCAATCTGTCCAAGCGACAGGAAGCAGACGGGTAGCTAAGAGGGCTCCGATAAAGTTGCACGCAAATGACTCGGGTACTCGTCCGGGGTCATTTGTCAGGGTCACTTGTCAGGTTAAAATCTATTTCTACCCGTTCGTATGGGTTTTTATTGATGGCAAATTTCGTCGAAATTACACAGCCTGACAATCGGACGGGCAAATTTAGATTTCTAGGTGAGAACTCAACATCCATACGGAATTATGTATGGCGGATCGATTTCGCTTGGTTCTAAAATACACAACAGCGTGGCGTTGTATACAACGCCACGTTCACGGGTCTAGGCAAGACCCTGCCTATTGACCTCTCAGATTTTGACCAATCAGTAGGCGCTTTCTATATCGGGTCTTCGGTCATTCACCCGTTGCGCGTCATATACAATGGATATAATAAAAGAAAAAGTTTCACGCGTTCTAATTCATGTTACGCGATATCGCGCCCGGCTGTTGTTATATTGCAAAACACTGCATTCGAATTGACTAAGCTAAGCAAACCATTTAGTCCTGATTTAGGAATGAAATGACGATTTAGGAATGAAATGACGTGACGATTTAGTAAACTCCACTCCAATTGGCTGGCCCGCGGATTACATAAATAATTAGCATGTCAGGAGATTTCAGACGTTCTCCAGGATTTGGCTCCGTCGATAACGGTTGATACTCAGACTACAAGCCAAGGAGCTTACTCCCAAAATTAGACGGAGCACTCTGATTGGCTAAGAATCAAGAGGATATGAATATGAATATTATTTACGCGTTTCGCTGCAGCATGGTCGCACATGGGTGCTCCCTGGATGGAGCGAATCGATTACTCGTGCGGTGGCAAGCTAATTCCTGGGTCGTTGGAATTCATGCTTTATATTCTTATTTAAAAAACAAAAGTTGGACATTGTCTTTCCTATTTTACCCCTAAGTGTAATATTTTAACGAAATCGTTCGAAAAGAGAGAGAGAAAAAAGGGAGAAGTGTGTATTAAGCATGCTGCACACTGTATCCCCACTCTAATAATGGATGTTTCCCCAGCGATACAGCCGGGGTATTATTGGCCTTCTCTATGGAAACGTAATACATAATGCGTTGCGCTGGGTGCATATTATGAATAACCGTCCGAATTCATATTATTCAAGTCTTTAGGGTGCAACCAGGCATTAAAATTCCGGTAGACACTAGTGCTAAATGCCCATAATTTAAAATTCTTTTAAAAATACTTACAACTCTCACAGATTTTTAAGCTGCACAGAAAAGTGGTGATCAACATTTCATCTTTCATTTTCTTTTCCTTTTTTGGTGGGTTGACCGTTGACTTTTCAAGAAATTCTCACCCAAAGCAGACGACCCTATTTTCCCCAAGCGGAAAAGTAGCCATCCACTAGGATCATTGTGTTTAATTGGTGATATTCTTTGAACGGATTGACCAATTTCAGTCATTTGTTCATCTAAAAGTAGCTTATGAAATTGTCTCTTCAGTCACTATAATTGTTGGCGCTACATATTTTTTTCAATATAAAATATAATTGCTGGCGTTAGGGTCCCGCTTTTTTTCTCACCCTGTATAACGTCTGACATGTTTAGAAATGCAGATATAATTGCCGCGCGCCAGCCAATCGGAGTCGTCTTTACTAAATCGTGACGTTATTTTATTTCCAAATCAGGACTTAATGGTTCAATTGGTCAATTCGAGTGCAGTGTTTCGTAATAAAACAATACCCGGTCGCATTGTGGCGTAATATGAAACAGAGCTCGTGACACAGGATTTTTTTAAACATTGTCCATGACGCGCAACGGGTGAATGACCGAAGACCCGATATAGGAAGCGCCCGATGATTGTTCAAAATCAAAGGGCAGATTGCCTTGCCTACTTAATCAGCGATTCTGCTCGCATATCTTACACCACGGCACTCGCCATGGTGTATGACATGTGTACGTGACTAAATATGTACGTGGGTAGTGTTATTCGCTAATGCCACCCTACGTTCTAGCCGCGCGCGTCACGCATTCACACGCATACCCATTGGACCGTTTTGAGCCGCAGTCAAGTTCATGATTCGTCAATATATCACGGGCGGAACTTAAATAATAAATGAAATGAATTTGTTAACACCTTGGTAAACCATACGATCTCATTGATCAGTGCGCGGAGATGTTTCTCTGTAAACACTAGCCTGGTTTAGTGATGCGAACCAGTTCTGGGAAACAGTCGGGACGGACGTGGGCTTTCCCCATAGCAGCACACATGCAGATTCCGTCATATGTATCTACATCAAGAATCGGAAAGGGTATAAAAATAAACATTTAGAAGCCTATTAAAATAAACGCAGAATGAGAAAACCAAAATAGGGCAGACGTCGAAAATCCACGTAAGTACATGCTGAATGTTTTTCTGTTGACTTTAACACCTTAAGTGTGGCCTCGTGGTTAGATTTTCTGATTCATCATCAGAGGGTCAGGGGTTCGAAACAGGTATCCGGCCACATGCCTACTCGCCTTTTCCACTAGGGGGTTGGAGAGGGGGGAATTCATACCCTTCCCACCGGGGAAGAAGGAATGGATACGTCACTGAGGAGTAAAATACGTGATGGCCTCGCATACCATCAAGGGGGAATAGAAAATACGGTCCTGTCGTGTCGTGCAACAAAAGTCGTGTCGTGCCACACAAATCTTGGACGCCGGTCCGATGATCAAGAATGGCTCGGAACAAACAGACTTTGATTTACTTACATTTTACTTACCATCGTCAATGGGCATGCAATTGGGGTTCCAGATACCCACAGAAGTAATTGGTGTATACCTGTTTCTTCCGGCTGTAATCTAAAGATTCCTTAGATGTGTCAAGAGCATCAATGCGAAGGAAACCGCGTTTCTTAAGCTGCAATTGAACACAACATGGCAATGTTTAGAACCGTGATGAGACATAAGTTACGTATGGTTGGGTGATGTACTTTTGACTTGTGATTGGCTTGTGATTGGCTTGTGATTGGCTTGCTTGTGATTGAGTTGTTTGACTAGTGATTGACTTAATTGTGAATGACTTGTTCACAGACCAGTACAAACTTAGCGTTTATACCTTGAAGTGTCCTATACAACAGCGATCTATCGTCAACCCCTACCCCGCCCCAAGGACGACAATCACACAGACATCCCGACGAACAAACAAACCTCTTGCCCAAGGAGACCGGTTCCAGATGCACAGTCCAACAGTCGACTGGTCATATCTGGGATGAAATGTGGCACAGTCTCTGCTAATTCAATGTGGGCGGTGAAACCAGGGATTTCCATATCCTGCAAAAGCATGCCGAATATTCCAAGGTATAACAATCCGCACAGAGAGCTTGCAAAGAGCGCCCTCAATACGGACGGGTTTTGTTATTAAAATTCAGTGAAAAATGATAGTCTGCAACCAGAGGTACAAAGACAGCCCTTTCCACAGTGTGAGGGCGCAGTGTGTACGCTCTGCGTACTTTATAACTTGCAAAAAGTGGTTCTTGAAAAATTGGCAAAAATGGAAAACTTAAATTAAATCATGATCGTCAAGAAATTGCTAAAATTTTACTTTGTACTCATAAGTGACGTGAATTGAAAAGGCATGTTACCCCGTGCTTTAAAAAAAACCATTTGTTTTCTTCAAACGAATTTTCAATTTGTATGTTTAGTTTAAACGGGAAAAAAATGTCTGGCAGCCAACAATTTGAATTTTGTGAGGACATTAAAGGTCGGTGGATTTTCTGTTCATTGGGGCCTATCTCATTCAGTTTGCAATTAACAAAGTTAGTTTTCGAGGGGAAACTAGAAAACAACACGTGGAATGCACTTTTAGTAACTTACGACAATACTGGACAACAAAATGTCTGCACATTGAGTTGCAATGTCCAAACGTAGCTACTCCCATACTGCCTCAACAATGCGTTATTTATTTATTTATTTATTTCTGGGAAAACAACTGAAGAATATACATTTATTTCTGGGAAAACAACAGAAGAATAGTCTGGGTGAAACCCACGGGATCAGGTAGGGACTGAAAACCCAATCCACAATTGGACCAGAACAGGAATCAATTCCGGGCCAAAGCGGTGGAAGGCGAGGACTGTAACCACCGCGCCAACCAGAATCCTATAATGGCGAAGATAAATGCATTGGTATTGTTTTAATGTAGGCAGGAGTAAACTAATGTTTTTCTTTGGCACGGTTTATTTTTTTTTATAATAATTGCTACTCAATCAAAATAACAAAATACGTACATAGGGATATTTACAACGCATAAAGTCAATCAAAACCGACTATTATTATTATTTTTTTTTTTTTGGGGGGGGGGGTTCTGTCAGAGGATCAACAAACCTTTTCATAGCCGTCATTTTTGATCCAGTTTGTGTACATTTCCTGCAGCAAAACTTTTAAATCCTCCGTGGAGACCGACTCGTGAACTCTCCTCCGGCAGAATGTTCGCCTCGCTTCTAGCTCCCCCTCGATCTACTGCAGATCTCCGTCGGTCATTGTTGAAGTTTTGAGAATGTTCTCCGTCGGTGACAATGAGGAATATATTTAGTTGATTAGCGGGGAAATGATCCGAACTTCAAATTGAAACTTACTATAATGGTGGGTAAAAACAGAAACTGATCGAATTTCAAAAATATTTGTTGAATATTTGGCTTGCTTCATTTCATAAGAAGAACATTGCAACTGTCAACTATTTCAATAAAAAAAAAAGTCAGGCAAATTTTGGCTGCCCACCACTGATCATTTACCGTTCTAGGAACTGATGAATACCCATCGACTACAATGAAACATGGACGTTTTCCCATATCGATGATTGGAGGAGAACTTGCAAAGGAAAACATACCAACATCGCCATTAATAGTTCAGAAAAATAGATCACTCGTTCCTCATGATAAAAGCACAAAATCTGACGGTAAAAATTCCGTTTCAGTCTTGATTTAAATGATTAAAATCTCATTGTATTTGAATGCCTGTGTGTAATCTGTGACTCTCACTCGCCCACAGAGCCTCTAATGGCACTCCATGGACAGCTATAAATATTGGTTCTTTTAATGAAACGTGCGTTAGGTCTGATAGCACGGATCCATTAATTACTCTCCGTTTTTCAGATAAAGAACTTGCTTGTTTAAGAGTAAGTGTTTGGGCCTGAGATTACTTTTTGGAAAGAAAAATATTATTTCGGATTATTTTCTTTTCTGATTTTACCTTGTATAGGCATATGTCCATTTTGTAGGCAAATGTGAATAATTGGATGCATTTACAGTGCTGGTCACCTAATCAACAGCGCGTATAATAACATACGATAGGGCACACTGATCAACATGGCGTCACATAGATGCACGATTTCAGACAGTGTCCCCATATAAACCCTTAGCACTCTAGACTACCCCCTCCCCAATGATTACCAGGAACACAACGACATAATGAATGTCGCATAAGTCACTCTCTTGTTTCAAATGGAAGATAGACCTTGAACCGTAAAACCTGGCAATTGATGCCAAAATGTTCGACCATTTTTTTTCTTGTGGCCCATTTTTGGCTCGGAGCGGTCCGTGTTGAAGATGTACAGTTCACTTTTCGTATATGAACAACACCCCAAGCTCAAGCGTTGATTGAATTTGACTCCCCGTACCCTCTTGTTGGTGGTCCCAGAGAGCCAGCCTACAGCATCAGCTGTTTGTACGCGCTACCCGTCTTGTTGACTGATTGTATGACTGACCGTTACTGGTGACTTGGCCGGTATGGTCGTGGGCTGGTGAAACCAGAGCCGGGCATTGCTCTAGCTCATAGACATGTCCAACCCAGCATAATGATGATAATCACGCAAGATACATACACTGCGACGGTTCTTGTAGACTTGGGGTTGGTGCCGAAAAAAAAACCACACTACTGTCTAGTGACTTGTATGTTCTCAAGCTGTAGGAATAAACACACCGTAGGTCCATGCCTTCCATAATGGGCTAAATCCGACCCATTTTGTACAGCAGATCGATGCATTAAAAGGCTTCCAGTTAATAGCCATTCTTCTTTGTTATTGATATTAATAGTTTATTTATAGACTCTCGCAGCCATATGCTGAATTACACTCAATTTACTTGAAAATTCAGATTTAAAATACTTACCATAAACTAAGCATAAATTAATAAATTAGCATAAAATACATACAAATTGCCAGCTGACGGAGTATGCACTGACACAAAAACTACACAAGGAGACAAAAAAGTATACATTATTCAAAGACAAAACAAATATCTAAAAATATCACGAGAGTTTTGGGGAATCTACAATGAACAACGAATCACACAAGCTGTGTATAAAATAAGCGAGATAAAAAAGATACAATAAATAGGTTTGACTATTTACCGACTTATAATCAAACCCGAACACCAAAAGCGTCAAACGCCTCTCAAAAGGTGGGGGACCACAGATTTGATCAGAACTCCCTCGAGCGCGAAGCCCTGACAGCTTGGGGTTCGGGGTCCTGTTGAGGGCCCCGAAAAATATTGGATTCTAAATGATCTGTAGTGCGATCTGAGGCGATTTCTGACCAATTTAACAATGTTTATTTTATTTTTAGCAAAAGATCAGCATTAAACATCAGTATCGAGTTTTGACTCATTGAATCAGCTATTCTGAGCTACAGAATCAAATGTAGGCTACAATTTCTATTCGGGGACGAAACAAGCGGAGGTGGGACAATTATGATATCCCACATTTTAAAAAATTCCCCCTCCCATCCCCCACCGATCGAGCCCATGCTATTCACAGGCCAATCACAAGTCAGATAAAGGGGGTAGATCAAAAGTTCATCACAGGCCCAGTCCTCAAATATAGTCGCAAGGGACAAATAATGACCACAAATGCGCAATGTTACATAGTGCACTAATTGTGGCCACTGTCCAAAAAGCCAGCCAAATGGAGACCAGAGCATACCCGCAGTGAGACTCGAGACGACCAATGATGAATTATAACGGTTGGTGTAGCAGTGTGTCATGGAAAGCTTATTTGAATTACAAGTTGTTTTCTCGGCTTGCAGGAAGCAAATGCCTTAAAGACCTGAACTGGACGAGATTCTTCCCAAAATTGAGCGTTGAATACAATTGTGCGCGCATTCTGGCTTGACTTTGAACAGATACATAGCTACAATTAGTCCGTGGGACTAGGCCTTTTTTTCGCTCGCCACGCGGTCTGGTTCGCCGAAGTTTATAAAACTTCACAGACATGTCGATTATGGTGTACCGTATCGAAATAACTTTGTTCCCCGATTCACAGTTGGTTTTGGGAATGTGGAAATCTGGGATAAAAACGTCGGAAATTCTACGTGAGAAAAAAACATAAGAAACAGCGCCCTATATTGACATCGCCAGAAACCTTTTCTCACGCAATGCACAGCCGTTCGAGTTAGGGCGGTCTTTTCTTGACGCGGGTATTTTTTATTGTTCTTGCACTCGAACGGTGCGGTGGAAACTCGACTTACCAACACTGCGCTTAGAATAGGATCTCACACCACCTACATGACCTAAGTGTGCCTCGAATTTAAAAAAAGGTTATAATTTGATGCAGCCTCGAAAAAGGAAGCGGGTGGGTTTACTGATGGTTTTAACAAAATGGATGGACCAACAATATTCAAAATACTAAAAAAGATACTGAGCTGAAACAAAATATAACATTTGTAATGCTGCCACTCAAAGCTTCCCAATAAGGGAATATAAATTATTTTTTCAAAAAAACGTTTGCACACAGAGAGTGGGTCCTTAATTTGCGATGACTTTTGACATGTTATACACAACAATTTATGTAATCGCTCTGTGATGTATACATTTTGTCAGTTGCAAGTAAACGAGTCAAATGCCCATTCAGTACAAATTAAACAAACTTATTTCATCTAAATAATATTCTTCTTGTGTGGGTGAAAACTGTGCATGTTGTAATTGCCCCCCCCCCCCATCTGATATACATGTATATAATCCCTTTTAAATCCCTTCTGCGTCACTGGTATTAAAAGGGGGAAAGTCTGTTAAAAGGATTTCATAAATGGATTTTTGACAAATCCCCCCCCCCCCAAAAAAAAAGGTTGGGCAGAACTGAGAGATGTTACACAGAGATTCTCCTCTGGGTTGTGTGGTTTAACTATACATTTTGTACCAATCATTTAAATTCACCAACTCTAACATTCAATTTGGCAAGAGAAAAAAATTACACGCTTTTAACAAAACCAATTAGTCATTAGTCACCGGGTCGAGAATATTCGTCAATACAGATCAAAATAGTCTTGACTGGTGTTGAATGGCAGCATTCAG